GGGTACTGAGACGGTTCGGTGAATCCAAGAAAGGTGTTTTGTTTTGTATTTAATTTGCTATAGGGGCACTTGCACTTACTGGAGGGAGAAAGAGAGGAGAGAGAGAAGGTGAGACAGCACCCCCACGTGCGATGGCCTCTCCACAATCCCTTCTCCTTCTTTCTCTGCTTGGGATTGTGGGCACGCATGCACGTGTGCTCAGCATCATTTCCAAGAGACCTGAACCACGCAGCCAGCCATGTGGGATCGGGCCACTTTAACCTCCTGCCTGGCCAGGAATGGTGTTTTTAACCAATGATGCTGGAACAGTTGGCTAGCCACATGCAAAAGAATGAAGTTGGAGCTTTATGTAACACAATCACACAAAAAGGGACTCGAGGACTAGCTGCGGTGGCGTGCTGCTGAGACACTGCTCTGCAGGCTGGGGCCGCACTGAAGTCTGACCCACCTGAACAGGCTGGGTGCAGGGGCGCGTCCCCATAACCTCGCTAGCTGGGGCCCTGAAACACGATCGCAATGGTAAAACCCTGTCTAAAGTCCCGCTCTCCTTCCTCCTCTTCCTCCGTCTCGTTCATAAATATAGAAACAAAAATAAAAACCAAACCAAAGAAACCTGAGACCTATAATTATAGAAAATAAAGCATTTACCTTCTTTCTGTGTCTCACAACCACATTAATGAAAACATATTTACGATGGTTCCTTTTACCCAACATATCATGTCTAGCTATCAAAACCAAACCAAAACAAAAGCAGAAACAGAAACAAAAAACTTATAAGGCAAAAAACAGCCAAAAAAAAAAACAAAAAAAAGACATGGCAGGGATGTTGAAATGATCAGACATGGAATTTCAAAGCAATATGCTGGGCCCAGCAGATGGTGTATGGCTACATCACTGGACTCCCACATAGTCCACGGTGATTTTAATCCCAGACCCCACAGTTTAAAAACTCAAGTCAGGCGCATGTATATGTGTGCCCCAAAATCCTGAGAAAAGACTGCAGGAGAAGGGACCATGGTGTGGCCAGTGCCCCACCACCCCCCGCCGGAGGGTGATTTCTCTGTCTGGTTCTCTGTCTCTCTGGTGGAGTGCTCACGCCCTATAGCAAAAATCTCTCTAAAATATATATATATATATATATATATATATATATATACTTAGGACTCCAATGGGTTACAAAAACATCATGCAACAACAGATGAGCAATCTAGGTAGGGAGATGGAAGTGCTAAGAAAGAACCAGGAAAGGAATGCCACAGAGCTAAGGCTTCGTGGCAGGAATGGGGAACGTAGCTACAGAAGATGGAACGTGTGTAGATATGTAAGGTGGGAATAGCAGAGGAAAAGAGAGGGAGGGAGAGAAGAAATGTGTGGAGCAATGCCTGTGAGTTTCCACAACTGAATATCAGACATGAAACCACAGATCCAAGAAGCTCCGAGAACACCAAGTGGCATAAGCAATGAAAGAATCCCTATACACAGGCATATCGTTTTCAAATTTCAGAAACCCAAAGATCTTTTACAAATATAGTGACAGGGTCAGCGGGTGGCATGGTGGTTGGGGCGCTGGACTCCCACATGTCTGACTGCGGTTCGAGTCCCCGACCTGGTGCCTTGAGGATCACGCCAAGAGCATGTGCATGTGTGCCCAGAATCCCAAGAGGAGAGTGGAGAGGGTGGGGGTCGCGGTGTGGCCATTCCTCCTGGGAGGTGATTTCTCACTTTCCCTCTCTCTGTTTCTCTCTGGAGCGTGTGCACACCCTATGGCAAAGCTTAACACACACGCACACACACACACACACACACACACACACACACAGAGTGAAAGAAATCGGAGGAAAACACCTCACCTAGTGAACAGCAAAGATAAGAATTACATGGGATCTCTCCTCAGGAACCACGCATGAATGTGAAATAGCTCAAGTGTTTAGAGAACCACATAGAATTCTGTATCCTGTGAAAATATCCTTCAAAAATGATGGAGAAATAGTTTCTCAGACAAAAACTGAAGGAATTTTTTTGGCCAGTCGATCTCTTGCAAGAATGTAAAAAGTTCTCTAGTGGGAGCGTCAGGTGGCGAGGTGGTTACGGCGCTAGACCCCATAGGGCCACTCTGTGATTTGAGTCCCAGACCTGGGAGCCTGAAGGACGTGCTGGGCATGTGTGCGTGTGTGCCCAAGGTCCCTAGAGGAGAATGGAGAAGGGACCGTGGCGTGGCCCTCCCCCTGGGGGGTGATTTCTCACCAGGAAAGGATGAGACTGGAGGCAGGGGGCCTGGCCAGGGTGAGACCCAGAGAGGTGAGCACGTGGGTGTGCTGAGAGTAGAGGCTGGCTGAGTGGGCGAAGGGACAGGGACATCACCTGCTCCCAGCCACTCCCTGCCGTGGGTCACATCCGGCAGTGCAGTTCAACCTGAACTCTGGAGCTGCTGTCTGGGATCCAGGCCCTCTGACCCTACTTCCTGTGTGGCCTGGAGCAAGTCCCTGCATGTCCCTGTGCCCCAGGCTTTCCGTCCGTCAAAGGCCTGGGAGGGTGGAGGCTGGACAATGCCTGTTGGTGTGGCGACAACCCAGGAGGTGCCTACAAGCACAGTGGCGATGTGAGGGTCTGGCCAGGCCCCTGAGTTGGGGCGCGGCAGATTTGTCAAGACTGTGGGGAGACCCAGTGACTTGAAAAACATCCCAGGTGCAGGCACTTGCAGGCCCCAAATCCTGAGAGGAGGGAGGGTGGAGGAGACGGAGTGTGGTGTAACTGGCCCCATGGAGAGCGCTCTCTCCCTCTCTCCACCCTTGGTCAACGCGCACACCCTCCGGCAAAACTGAAGGGAAAAGCAGTTTGGTGTGTATCTTCATCCCTGGGATATTTCAGCCATTGGACACTTACTTTTGTACATTTTATATCTAATTATCGGGTCATCTACACGAAAGGCGTCGACTTTTCAACAACCATATATATATATATGTATGCATATAAAAGTCCGTCACACCCTGTCACCCACTCTGTACAGCCACCTCATCTTCCCACAGTCACGGTGGCCCAGGACCCGGAGCCACCGTGAGCCCCTCAGCCACTCCCTCCGGTGTCACGTGGGGGCTCCTGGTTTTGGGCTGCCCTGAGCATTTGTGCACTTGTCGCTTAGGGCTCTTCGCTGTTTTTTCCCTTGCCTTTCTAAAAATGCTCCAGAGAGCGTATGCGCTCCAGAGACAGAGAGAGCACCCTCCCCTGCCCGGGGGGTAGCCAGGCTGCACTCCCTCCTCCACCTCTCCCTGCTTTGGAACTTCGGGCATGCACAGACACACACCAGTCGTGTTTTTCAAAGCTGCCAGGCCAGGGACCTGAACTGTGCAGTAAGCCATATGGAGGAGTCAGTGGGGCCAAAGCGGGACAGCTATTTCATCTTTTTGCATCTTTTTAAAAAACAATTATCTATTCATTTATCTTATTTTGACCAGAGAGAGAGAGGAAGGGAGGGAAAGTGAGAAAAGCAAGCCACCAGGCCCGGGACTTGAACTGTGGTTGGCCATGTGGGCGTCCAGGGCCACATCACCTGCTGATCTAACCTCTTTTGCATCTTTTTAAAATCTGTTTCTGTACTGTGAGCATGCTTGCTGGAGACAGAGAAAGAAAGACAAAGAGAAAGAAAGCACCCCGGGGGGATGGCCAGGCTGCAATCCATGCTCCTCCATTCTCCTTTCAGGATGTTGGACACACACACACACACACAGCCACCTTAACCACCACGTCACCTGGGGGCCCTCGGCTCCTTTATTTCAATGGGACAGGTTCGATGTGTGTGGGGGTTGTCCACCTGGGTCCCCTGACAGGTGCGAACCAGTCGTTTGACTCACAATACGAGGGCACTTCAAAAAGTGTGTGGAAGGGCCGGCAGGTGGCGTGGTGGTTAAGGCGCTGGACTCCCGCATGGCTGACCACATTTCGAGTCCCAGACCTGGCAGTTTGCTTTCTCTCTCTCTGGTGAGCACACGTGCCCTGTAGCAAATTTGAAAATAATAATAAACAAACAACTCTTTTTTAAAAAGTAGTGTGTGGAGAAACAGGATTGAAGTGCTAGTTTATTTTGGATCAAAAAGTTTGAGACCTGTGTGTAACTCTTTCATAGTTCGCACTGCTGCCAACGTGACGAGGCCCGCACGCGCTTCCAGCCGCGCTGGGGGAGCAGAGGCCACCTGAGGCCAGCCGAACAGGGGCGAGGGAGGCAGGGGGCGCCTGAGGGGCTTCCTTGTCCTTGTTCTGTCTGGTCTGGCCCGAGGTGTTAATCTTTACCCCCACCCCAGGTTACCGAGTAACAGCCCAGGTTGGCGGGCCAGCCTGTCCCCAGCAGCGGCTACTCACTCATTAACACTTCTGGAAGGACTGTGTGTTCCGTAAATGCAGGCCAAGCCCTGAGTCATGGCGCTGAGCAGAGGTGTGAGCCTCTGGCCTAATGACGTCCCTGTCACCATGCTGCACACTCGGGGTCTCACTGCCACTAAATCCAGCGCTGCCCCTTCAGTGGCTGTGTGGCAGCAGCCGGCCCAGCCAGCAGGCCTCCATGTTCTTGCGTAGGCCGAGGCCTCACCGTCTCTGCACCGTCACCTTGGGCGTGAAGCGGCGTCCTCCGTGTTTGGTGGACAGCAGGGCCCTCCGTGTCCCCGCAGCCAGGGCTGAGCAGCTGGCCACGTCGAGGGCTCAGGTCTGTCTCACTGCCTAGCGACAGCAGAGGTGCTGGCCCTGGGATGTCATTGTCCCCCGTGGGGACATGCCAGGCTGGGGCTGCTGGAGGTGAGTGTAATGCGGGTGTCACGGCCCGAAGGCCCCCTCAGTCCCCTTGGTGGCTGTGGTGGACACACGGCTGCCCGTCCCAGCTGTGCCCACAGGCCATCCGTCCATCCAACCCCACGCTTCTGTGCAAATGAGTAGCCAGGCACCCCCAGGCCTCGCGGCCCGTTTCCCAGAACATTCTGGCTGCCTGTGGACTGGAAGGAGGCTCAGTGCCCCTGCCCTGGGCGCCCCCTGCCCTGGGACGGCTCTGGGGAGGCGGTGGAGGAGCGGCCACACTTCACAGCCATGGCTCTGCACGCAGCCTCGCCGTGGGCTGCAGGTGCCCCCGGCCTGCTCGGTTTAATGATCAATTAAGTCCCTGCCAGACAGCCCTGGGCGACCCGGCCAGCCCGCAGTCCCCGTGGCTCCCCACCGAGCTGCAGCATGGCTGGGCCCGACAACTCCACTGGCGGCGTCCACGCTCCGGGGCCCACGCTCAGCGTGGCCGACATCATCGTCATCACCGTGTATTTTGCCCTGAACGTGGCCGTGGGCATTTGGGTAAGAGGCTCCCTGGGCTTGGGCGGTGCCAGACGGGCGCTGGGGTCCAGCATGTCCCTGAGGCACTGGCGTCAGTCTCGCCTGGTGGCCCCGTGCCCGTGGCCACTCCCGGCCTGCAGGAGATCTGCTTGGGGACTGTGAGTGAGCGCCTGTCCTCGGGGGGCACTGCCCCATCCACAGCGCAGAGCAGGAGGGTCCCTCGCGGCGGCCTGGGATGGGTACCTCCGCCGCCTGGCCTCAGCTCTGTGGGGTCAGGTCCTCCGGGCCTGAACAGCAGGACCACAGGATGGCCTCCTGAGCCTGGAGCTGCAGGGCCAATATGGGAGGCCGGAAGGCCTGGAGGCCGAGCCCAGGCGGAGGGGCATTGCTTTAAGGAGCTCCCAGGGACTGCAGCCTGCCGTTCGCGGCCCCTCTCCCCTCCTGCCCGGCCTTGGCCCTCCTGCTGGGATGTGGGCGTCGCGTGCCAGTCATGCCCCCAGTTCACCCCTCCTCACCCTGGGCCCACCTCGCCGCCCAGACCTGGAGCTCTCCAGCCAGCATGCGCAGCCCTGGGAACGCTTCCAGGCCCCCGGAGTCGG